CACCCCAGCTTTTTTTTACCCCCTGGTCCACTCTTACCCATTCTTCCCTGCCCCCTGTACTTATTCTCCGCCCTCTCACGCGCTGAAAAATGAGTGAATGCGATAAGGATACTGTTTTCTGGAATCAGTCATTTAGAATCGAAAAATTGTCCTGAATTCAATTCGAAAAACAAACATCCAGAAAGAGTTCCGGATTTGCAAGTGCAACACGAATACTCCAACGAACGCTCGCTGTCGTCATCACTCCCCACATTTCCAGAATCCTCAGTGAACGTTACATTTTCATCCGAATTTTCCAGCGCAGTTTCATTGCTTGCTTCAGTTTTTTCACTCATCCAATCTTCTGTAAATTGCGTTTTTAACAGGCACCGATTTTTTTGCAAATTTTTAGGAACTGCAACACGCAAAATCACTGATATTGTATCAGCCAACTAGTTTAAATTACGCCATTTTATATACTATAACAGTCACCAAGTCCAGCTCTATTAGCTATCATATATCATTGAGGGATTGGTTCCGAAGCCGCGATTTTCTGCAGAATACGGTGCTACTTCCACTGCGCCATGCCCTAGCTCATCTTCTGTACAAGGAGTTTAGAAGAAGGATGACACAACAATTTTTATATTTTCGAAATTATTATAATACAAAAAACCGGTATCATTCTGCATATTACGCATCTCACTTCTGGACCATAGTGCTCCTAATTTCAAGTGGAAAATAAACTTGGCTCGTTAATATCGGCGTAATTGTTTGGATCGTCGCCATTACTGTTTGCTGTTCCCGTAGGTACTTCTGTAAGTAGACCAGTAGTCATTAGTAGCCCAACGGTGATCGCTCGAGCATAGTTCTGGGTTAGCACATTCAAATGCAATTCAAATTTTGACCAACAAATTACTAGAAAAGTAAATATGAAAAGTGCTAAGTAATCATCACTTTAGTAAATACTGATGAACACGGGTCGCAAAAGATGGAACACTGTAGCCCACAGCATTTACAGTAATGTGGGTTGTATAGTACTAGAGTTACATACCGTAACCATTAAGAGCCACTTGTTGCCATTCGGGCGCCATATTCTCAAGCGACAACTCTCTGGTCGGCACTGGAACAGTTTGATATTTAAGCATAAAGTAAAAGTATGAAAAAAAATTTTATTTTACGGCAAGCAAATTACAACTTCCAGGTTGCCAGAGGAACTCCTGGAAAA